GTAATGGGATTTTAGTGGCTATGTATAAGCTTAGACATTCATCATTTTATACCCACAGAAAGAACCTATCTCACTAATGGAAAAATAAGTAGTCTTTGAATCCGACTCATTTTCTGCTTGTATATATGAGGATGTGAAAGAATATCCGTAAAACCTCAATTTTTTTTATGATATCAGAGTCATGTTAACCAATGTGTGACGGCTACTTGGCATTATTCTTTTGTGTACTCATTGAATTATAATGTTTTTTTCCTGCCCCGAAATCCATTTTAAAAGTAGTTTGTCTGATGCTCTGAAATCCTCATCATCACAGCAAGTAACCATCTTATCTCACACAACACGAGAGAACTAAGAAATATTGCACTCAGTTGTCTTATTGTTTATCTTACTGGTTAAATGGTTTCCATTAAGACAAACCGATTATTGAAAGATGCTCCTTAAAAGGATACCTTTTTATTATTTAATGAAAACTTTAACAAAATAATGGAAAAAGAACATGTCAGCTTTAATTAATATACTAATCAAGACCAGAAAAATAATGGAAAAACAAGATGCTATATCCCAACAAAGATTGAAGCAAAGAGCATCTTGCTTTCGTGATACATTTTATATGCCAAAAGTTGAGTAGGGTGTGGGGGCAGTTGCAAATCTAGTCTTCCATATTCAATAGTTGCTTGCAAACTCTTGGAGCTTTCAATCATACAAATACAAAGCATCAACACTGAACAAAATTTGCTTACTCAATTGGGGACAACGGAGTCTTAAAATCAATTGTTGTTTGTGAGAATGTGAAAGCTTAACGAAAATTCTCTCCTACTCTATACCTATGGCTAGGTGTAAGGTGTAAATCTCTCCCTCTCTCTCTCTCTCTCTCTCTCTCTCTCTCTCTCTCTCTAGCTAGAGACAAATATGTCCATATATAGGACCTGTGCATATACAAAACCACACTCAACCCCATACATACAGAGAGACATGACATGAGAATTTTCATACATATAATAACATGTCGGGGAATGCCAGTAACCTTCTCTTTAACCTTCTCCTTTAGAGAAAGAAAAAAAAAAGTCATTCACATCCGTAAGCACCCCAATGGTAGTTAAGATTGTCATATGTGATTTATTTGTGTTTATTACTAATATATTTGTATTAATTAAGGTGCATATCTACTATATGTAACACAGAAATTATAATTTCTTGAATCTCTCTCTCTCTCTCTCTCTCTCTCTCTAGCTAGAGACAAACATGTACATATATAGGACTTGTGCATATACAAAACCACACACAACCCCATACATACAGAGAGACACATGACATGAGAATCTACATGTAATGTCATGTCAGGGAATGTCAGCAACATTCTCTCTAACCTTCTCCTTTGGAGAAAAAAAAGTCATTCACATCCGTAAGCACCCCAATGGTAGTTAAGATTGTCATATATGATTTATTTGTGTTTATTACTAATATATTTGTATTAATTAAGGTGCATATCTACTATATGTAACAGATAAATTATAATTTATGGACCTCATACGTGCATGAATATTTTGCTGGTCAAGTTACACTAGATGGTATTGTTATAAGGACTTTTTTCTTTCTATCTAAACCCTTTATGTTAAAAAAAATTAATTTAAAAAAAAGGGAAATTTCCTCTCTTTTTTTTTCAGCAGACATTTTAAAAAAAATTGACGTTAAAAAAAATTAATAAAATGGTGAGAAAGTTGTGAAATTTTTTTGGATAAATTGAATACATTTAATAAGGGTAAACTTAGAAAGCAAATGTTAGCTTGTATAATATATTAATGAAATTATTTTAAGTGTAAAGAGAATGACACATATCAAGCTAAAAAGGGAGAAGGTTAGAAAGAAAGTTGTTAGCATTCCCCATGTCATAAAGCTCCCTCTCCATACATACAGAGAGACACAAACCCATGACTCTTGTTTTGAACCCGGGCCGTCATAATGGGGAATGACGATTTTTTACTCACCCGTGAAGGTAGCACCACCGAATGCGCTTCTCCTTCTCAACCAACCCACACAGAATTGGCCGCTTAGATGGCCTAGTTCGTGAAAATACATAAACAAAACCAGAAACAGACCCCGAATCCAATTCAGACACAGAAAATTTCCACAAACAATATTCTCTCATATTATAACATGGTATCAGAGCCTAGATTTTCTTATGACATGTGCTTGCATTGTCCTTGCAATTGCATTATGTAGACTCCGCTTGCCTTTTCATTCCTTTATATGAAATAAACACATAAATAATTCGTAATATGAATTCAAACTCATTATTTTGATTTCCATTACGAAATAGTAAATAGACCATAAATGTGAAAGTCTTCCTTTGTTATTTACACTAATTAAGAGTGATTAAAAAAAACATAATTGATTGGAGGAAAATGATGTCCTCATTATATATAATATAATCTGACCGATCTCCCATTTTGTACGAAAAGAAAGAAATTTAAAAAGCAGAGAAGACGTCTGGCTTCTTTTGAGACTGTTTGTGTACAGAAGGTAGGACTAGGAGCCTAGGAACACAACAAAAAAGTTGATTTTACAGCTTTCTGCTGTTGTAAGAATTCTAACGATGGTGGATGGATGCATCAGCCTAATATATATTAAAACAAAAAGCGTTGTAAATTGGAATACTTCTGCTCACTGTACCTGTACTACTTCTCATGCATACAACCTTTTGCTAAAAATAGAAGTTTGTATGCACATTTACAACTCTCAAGGAATTCTTGCTACTTTCAGGCCCGAAAAAAAAAAAACAGAAAGAATTCTTGCTAGTTAAGTTGTTCCGGCATGTTTCAATCTGACATAGATACATGCATACATACATATTTGATGTATAGTCGTTGGGTAAACATTCTTATAACTATTTTAAGAGAATGAGAGTTTCTCACGCATACACTACTCAAGTACATATTATGAGAATTCGAACTTGAAACCATTAATTAACAAGTTAAGGTCCTTTATAAGTGCCAAACTGCTAAGTGGCAAATATCACACAAAATCACAAGCCACAAAGAAGATAAAATTTGACATGCAAATAGAATCAATTGTGACTGAAATGGCGTGAGATGGGTTAGCTAGGTTGGTGAATGTGAGAATTTGGAAACCGTCGTATAACGACCCGACCTAGGCATGTTTGTAGCACGTGAACTGCACATTCATGTGGAATGAGAATATGCATGTGTTGTTGTGGGTGTCTCACGAGCATATGTCCCATGTATGATATTGATGGTCGTATCTAATGAGACATTATACATGGCCAGATGGGGTTGGAGTGCATGACTCATATATGACACCATAATTAAAAAATAATAATGATTTATTAGTGTGGCCACTGCCCATGCCAGGGCAACCACAAAAAAGAAAAACAAAAAGAAAATAATAAGAGGTTTTCCCAACTTCTTGTCCAGGGGAGGAAAAGTAAGAAACCAAACGACCCATCAGGCAATGTTTTGGAACACACCTCTAAAAATGTTCGTTAGCATTAAAGGTGATGGATTTTTAGGAGCCCCAATTGGAGTCGTATAGGACAAACACCTACAAATCTAACCGCAAAAACCAAAAGAAACTTTACTACTTTTCTTGGAAATGACCAATTATTATATAAGTGAAAAAACCATTAGACCACTCATTTCATCTCAACCTTTATTTTTATTTTAGCAGACACAATTGCCCCTCCACAAGGAAAAAATTCAGATGGAGACTTCTTTGTCCTGTAGTAAGATGAGTAACTGACAACCCAAGGCTGATGGGGGCCAGGGCCACTAAGATGACTTACTCACAATGAGGGGTGGAGGAGGACGGAGAAAAACTTAGTTGTAACGAGGATAATATTATTTTGTAATTTTTGATCAATAATGTTATGTTATGTGGAAGTGTTATTATATATGTCATAGTTATATTTTAGCTTATAATCTCCAAAACATTGAATCCTGACTCCACCCCTGCTGATAACATTTTTGAAGCAAAAACATAACATGTACATTCTAAAATTTAATCATAAATAAAAACCAAGAGATCGGGACTGATAAAAATTAATATCATTTGTTATGTTTCATCTGAACAATAACTAGTACTTATCAAGGAGCTCCCACTTAACTGGTCAATGCCTTAATGATAAAGAGAATTCTAAAAGCACAACATATTGGGTCCCCTAGCCACCATAGACACAATAGAAAATTTCATCAATTTCAAAAAGGGTAATTTGGTCATATACGACCCAAAAGAAAGGGCTGTTGTGTAGTGAATAGAGATGAGAACCAAGATTGGGGGAGGAGGTTCGTTGATTTAGATGTTTTTCTACTTGAGGACAAGACAATGGCACATGGAGAGTGGGAGTGTCCTCTTTTCACCGAAACTCCTTTTGGTTTTGAGAGGGTTTAAGTTAAGATGTCTTTAAATCCCCTCATTCGGTTTTATTGTTTACACTACACTTTCATAGTTGTAGAGGCCAAGATGGTCCTTTTCATTTTTGTTCTTTCCCTTATCCAAATGCGCAGCTCAACATGCATCCTTCAAACAAAACGACCGCCCTCTCCAAACCAGAACATTACCCTCTCACACCCGAAAAACCGGAAAAATTTGCATGAAGTAAGGATAATACTGTTTTACTATATTCAACTAATCACAGACTGCTACATAGAAAATTTATCACGTGTTGCATGTCTTGATTGCTCGAAAATAGCAAAATTGTGTTACCCCTATTTCACACAAGTACACAATAACCCATTGAGGCAATTACATGAACTGTCTACAAAGGAAGACAGAAAAAAAAACACCCCAAAAAGGAATTAATACATGAACTTAAAATTCACGAACCTTCTAAAATACATGGAAAAATTTATTTTTATTTTTTGGTTTTATATACTTTTCCAAGATATAACTTTGTTTTGGGGTGGAGGGGGGACTTGGCCAAGTTGTCGCTATCTTGTCCGCCATCTCTATATAAACTCCCTAAACCTTATCTTTCTTTTATATCACCATCCTATGTTTTCAAACAACAAGTACTTCCACCATTATACTTGTTTCTAACCACATCTCCTCCAAAAATCCTCAGCACACCCTTAATTTTCTTCTAACCACACAAACACAAAACCCATCTCTCTGCTGTAATTTTCTCCAATTCAAAACAAACCCTTTTGATCAACGAACTTATATCTCCACCAGCATCACCACCATGCCTGCAAGACTCTCTGATGCCTTCAAATCCCACCCTCTCAATCTCCAACTGAAGCACCCAGATTTCAGCTCATTGCAGGAGCTTCCAGACTCCTATGCATGGAGCCAAAACGATGACCAGTACGCTTCTTCTCCGGGCTCATTTGGGGCAGAGCAAGACTCTGTTCCAGTCATTGATCTCTCTGACCCCAATGCCCTTAAGCTCACAGGCCATGCATGTCGAACTTGGGGTGTCTTCCAAGTCACCAACCATGGCATCCCGAGCAAGCTTCTTGACGACATTGAATCTGCTGGCAGAAGCCTTTTCTCTCTGCCGGTTCACCAGAAGCTCAAGGCCGCTCGATCGCCGGACGGCATTTCCGGCTATGGCTTTGCTCGGATATCTTCGTTTTTTCAGAAGCTCATGTGGTCTGAGGGCTTCACTATTGTTGGCTCTCCACTTGACCATTTTCGTCAACTTTGGCCCCAAGATTACAACAAATTCTGGTACTAATTTAATCACATTAATTCAATAACCTCATTCTTAATATTTTATTAGTATTTTTTATTTAATTTTTTATTTAATAAAAAAATTTGTTGGGGTTTTTGGTTTTTGGATGGTGAAAGTACTATGGCCAATGGCCATGTAGGTAGAAGACCCATTTTCTTTACAAAACGCTAGTTGCAAAAGATTACAATGAGAGCCATGGACCCACTGAGAAGATTTGGTTTGCGGAAATATCCAAAAGATTAAATCTACTTAATATGAATGTTTACTTTGCTAACCATCCATCATAATAGCATCCTTGTTTGTCATGTATTAAACAGTGTTTTGATTTTGATTTTGCTTGTTTTTTCAGTAATATTATTGAAGAATATGAGAAGGAGATGAAAAGGCTTGCCGGGAGGCTGATGTGGCTAATGCTTGGCTCACTAGGCATATCCATGGAAGATGTCAAATGGGCTGGGCCAAGAGGTGACTTCAGAGATGCATCCGCTGCCTTACAATTGAATTCGTACCCGGCTTGCCCGGACCCAGATCGGGCCATGGGTTTGGCAGCACATACGGATTCTACCCTCCTCACAATCCTTTACCAAAACAACACTAGTGGCTTGCAAGTCCTCCGGGAGGGCACCGGGTGGGTCACGGTTCCGCCATTGCCCGGTGCTCTCGTGGTCAACGTCGGTGATCTTATCCATATATTATCTAACGGGTTGTATCCGAGTGTCCTTCACCGGGCAGTGGTGAACCGGAGCAGACACCGTTTATCCATCGCTTATTTATACGGACCCCCAGATAGTGTCCAAATCTCACCCCTTTCAAAATTACTAGGCCCAAGTCAGCCTCCTCTCTACCGGCCAATTACTTGGAATGAGTACCTTGGCACAAAGGCAAAGCATTTCAATAAGGCACTTTCATCTGTCCGCCTTTGTGCTCCTCTAAATGCATTAGTTGATGTAAGTGATCACAACAGCGTAAAAGTCGGGTAGATAAATAAAATTTCCTTTTGCTACCAAAAAATTCTATGTAAATACTCTTTTTGGTGTAAAATTATTTTGCAATTGGCTGCCCATGTTTTTGGGGACTCTAATTCCTGGGATCATTCTAAGACAAAAAAATTTAGACAATACATTTCAATGGAAAAATGATAAAAAAAAGATAAAAAAAATTGTCCAAGAGCCAAAGCAATTATATATCAAATATATTAATTCAAATCATGCAAAGGGGATGCAAACAAGGAGTCCCTGCTGGCTGCTGGTGTCTTTTGTCCTTGGTTTTGAAAGAGATAGAGGGAAAATCGACCAATTTGAATGTTCCAATAAGAGACACATAAACCGACATCTTTTTGCCCCGGATACAAAGGGATATCCCTTCCAATGAATAAGACATGGTTCTAAATAAATAAATAAAGTGCAATGGAGCTTCGAAAATTTAATGGGACTGAAAAAACCCCATCCATGAAACGGGCTTGTAATTCCAGTACGAGCAGTTATTTTTACATTCAAGGTTTCGTATTCAATTTTTCTCTCTTTTAATATCGCTTGTATAAAGAAGAAAAAACCCCACTGATTGTTACCCACAAATCGATAATAAGTTAAAAAATAAAACATGAGGCTATGAAGCAATGATTGTAATGTTGATCGTGAAGAATATCAAGCCAAAGTTGTCGCATAGTGATTCACTTTCTGTGATTGATTTCAATAAAATCAGAATGCCAAATTATTTTGTGAGGACATAGTCTATGTATTTTGTCAGGCATTCCAATGCGCTAAAACTGTCCTCTGAGTTGAATGGAGCTCATGGCATTGCCCTCTGCCACCACACCACGTGCTTCTTGGCATTGGCTGACATTTAACCCTAAACAATTGGTCCTCTCCCTATCATGTTCATGGGATATATATTGAGGCAGTTTTTTTACCTTTACGACTTGGTTTCTTCTATTTTATTTTTTCTCGCGTCTTTGATTAGGGAGCTGTTTGTTTGTTTGTTTCCTCTCACCCTTTCTCAATTAAACTAGTTTGTACAGTTGTGCATATATAGGACACTACAACTTCAGAATATATCTCACTTAGCTATTTTGATCCACAAATATTTATAGCTAATAAGAAACCCTGTTTGTTATGGATAACCTAGTTTGGGTTTTACTTGATAAGCCTAACTGCTGACGGATTAATGAGAAACCAATCAAAGCAATCACTAACAATACATAGATTTAACTTTTAAACTATGAATACCGGCGGATCCACAACATTTACGCCGCCCATTAGAAATGCTCTAGCAGCCCTATTTTTCTTAAGGGTGGCAAATAAAGAAAGATTTCTGGAATTCGTCATTGGCTTTCAACGTAATAAGACCACTAGATCATAGAAAACCCTACAACCTTGTATATTCCACTGTCTTCATGGGATGGGGCAGTTTTTACTCTAAGAACATCTCCAACAATCACTTTAACAACTTTGAAATTCTAAAATAAGTGAGTCATATCAGAAAAATTCTTTGGCAAGAATTGATTGAAACTTTAGCATGGGCTCATGAATGCACACCTTTGGCTAATATGATTCGATGGAGAGATAAACCGGTGGCTCTTTCCATTGTGCAATAGCCTCTTCAATCTCAGTCATTAAAGCTGTAATTTCTTGCTCTCTCTTCAAGGCTAGTAAATTGACTTTAGCTCTTCAAACATTTAATTGTACCTTGGAAAAACAAAACTTACCTTGAAAATGTTAAAACATGCATTTTTGCTTTTCATATAATAAATACATAGACATTTTTCACATGTTTTCATATTTTTCATACTTTTTCAAGATATTGCATTAATTGAATTGAAGAGTTTGTTGGAGCTTATTCAAGTAGAAAATAAGGCTTTTCAAATTGCCACGTAAGTCAACCAACTTCAATTTGAAGAGTTTTATTTGCTACTACTATTGGAGATCTTCTTAGAGCATCTCCAAGGGAGATGTCAAATACCAAACATCAAATTTAAATTTGATGGCTGATGTGGCTATTTGACATCTTACATAGCTTTACACTCCACCCGATATGTCAAATTAAATTATTATTTTATTACATTTTAGTGTTGATTTATTTTTAATTAAAAAGAAAAGAAAAGAAAAAATAATAAAATATTCATTTGACATCTTACTTTTGAGATGTCAAAAATAACATCTCAACCTCCAGCCTTCATTCCACATCAGCTTTGACACATCGGTTGGAGTGATGTGAGATGTTATTTCTAGCTGTTAAAGGTCTATGTGGCACTTTTGACACATCGGTTGGAGATGCTCTTAAACTTACAAAATGATTGATGAAAGATTCGTACCGAGTACAATTAATAATTATTAGAATGCCGTAGTACTTATGTTCACTCCTCACAATACCAGGGGCAGAGCCACATGCAGGCCTGCCATGGCCATGGCCCTCCGAGACTCCATGAAAACCCTATTACTTCTTAAGCATCAATTACAATATTAGTTAAAATATAACTCTATATAATCTTGCATTTATAGTACTGGCTCCCCCACAGATTAGCTTCTAGCTCCGCCATTGCACAATACTCAAGTAGAAACAACGTACGCTTTGCTGCTTGTTTGTCAAAGCAAAATGATTATGCTCGTCTATTTTGCACTCAAATCAAATCATGGATTAGCTGGTTAAATCTTAATCTAAGACTTTATGAATATGAAGTTTCACTAAAATTCATTGCTATACCATCGATGTACCATCATGCATGATTTTCAGGTCATATAGGTTTAGCTTTCACATGACTTTAGCCTCTACTTAAATCAATATTTACTGTTTTCTATTGGGAATCTTATTTTGTGTGTAAGAAAGAATCTTCTATATTACATGTTGTATATACCCCTTTCTTTATATTTTATATTACACAAGGCTCGTGTCCTGTGATGAGAAAGATACATAGAAAAAGATATACAATTATTTTTGTGTGTGGAGGCGGAAATAACAACTCAAATGTGTTGTTTAGGAATTTGTAGTTTAGATGTGCAAGGCAATATGTTTTAATTAAGGTTATGAATATCATGAGAAGATGCTAGTTATTGTTGTGACATTGACACTATGGACAAGTGTGGATTATTAAGTGAAGTAAACTCCATGATATGCGTCAAATAAAACGTCTAATATAGTTCTTTCCGTGTGTGTATTCATGAGTGTAAGTTTTTGTTGAAAAATGCTTGGTTCTTTATTTCAAAGAAATAATTTGTCATCGGAGACAAATTTTAATTTGACATATGTGCATGAACTTTTATTTTTATAATAAAATAGTCTAGATTGTGATTGATCGAGATTCTGTAGATCAAATTGTTGAGTAGCTATTTTCGCTTTTTCTAGAGGATTACAAGCCAACAGCAGGCCAATGCCAAGAAGAAAATTGCAATGCACACACTAATGTCTTTTCCAATGATTAAAAAACTTTTACACCTCAAAATCATCAAGCTAATATATCAATGAGTATGATTGAAATAACCCCGAATCCAGAAGGGTGTAGTCACTTTATTTAAATCAAGAGAAGACATACTCATAAATAAATGTAGAATCGATGGTATGATTGATTTTACTTCAACTGAAAAGGATGCATCAACAGGATGTGATTCTTCTGCCAGTTGGTACTCAGAATCTAAGAAGATTTGCATGACGAGAGAGAGAGAGAACATGAACAAAGAATTTTAAAATAAGGCAAATGAATACAAATGAAAGAGGGATGAAAAGAAAGCAGATCATTATTAGTCTATGAAAATCTGTGCGCATTCAGAGTTTCAGACTACATTCAAGTTGCGATAAGGTAATTTAATTATTTTTTCAAACTGATGAGAGCCATTCAATTTTGATGTCACCACGGTTGATGATTGCAAATTTTCATGGTCAATGGCTCAATGGTGACTAATAGATCATAACAAATTTATAAGAGAAATACTAACAACCTTCTTTCTAAATTTTTTTTTTTGGACTTTTTTTATTTTTTTTTGGAGAAAATTAATAAGATAGTAAGAAAGTTGTGAATTTTTGTGTGTGGATAAATTGAATACATTTAATAAGGTTAAACTTGGAAAACAAAAGTTAGCTTGTATAATATATTAATGACAATGTTTTAAGTGTAAGAAGAATAACATATGTCAAACAAAAAATGGAGAAGGTCCAAAAAAGAAGGTTAAAGAGAAGGTTGCTAGCATTCCTCATGACCAACCATCTTATAAAGAAGGGCAGGTTTAGTTATGTTGAAGTTGCCTTGAGGGCTGCATCTGACCTGATTTACAATGCATCACAATTATCTACTACATATGCCCTTTAAACTTTTGCGTTGTGACTCTCTAGTCCACCCATCTAAGCCCAACTCTAGCATTTATATATATAAAATCCTGCAGTCATCTTTTATTGAGGGATCCTTCAAATAATTTTATTTTAGAGACACCCTGTAGGGTCTTTTATGAAATTTTGTTCAACAATCCAAATCATCTATTTTTCACATCTTCATTCAGAGATCATCCTTACAAAAAATCATGTAAATTGAAAATTATTAAGGCATCTAATTGAGACCAATAAAATCAATGAACACGGTGCTTCAAGAAAGTACTTAAATTTCAATAATTTAATTGAGCTGTCAAATAATATCGGATTAAACTGATTTTTTGTAGAGATGATCTTTGAATGAATATCTACAAAATAGACGGTTTGGATTAATGAACTATAATCCAGAGTGAGCCCTACAAGGTTGTCCATCAAATAAGCTTATTTGAATGATCTTTCAACGGAAACTCTCTGTACAACCCTGATTAACTCAATAATTAGCAACTGAGCACTTATTATTATTATTTTTTTAAAGCGCCTAAGTTCGTCGATTACCCCACCAATAATTATAGAGGTGTTGAAGAAAAATGTGAACCTCCCAACATAATTTCACAACCACTAAATAAATAACGGGGTTTTATTATTTTAGATTTGAACCATTCAAGACGCGGTGTTTCTTAATTACAATCCCTTACTTCAAGGGAATGCCCTTTGATTCCATCATAAAGAAACAAAATATGTGTATTTGGTTTTGCGGTTGCCCCTAAGTCGAACCTCAAGGTGCCTATATATCCCTTGTAATAA